AATTAAAAGAATGTTGCAAACGTTTTTTCCTTCATTCTTTTATTCTTATTCTACCAGATGCAATATAGCAGGTAGATATACTAGCAATGTTAGGGATGATATGTAATCAGCGTTTAAATTGAGCACTTCTTACTTCTAATGGTCAAGCTTGCTAAGGCATAATACTGTGAAACAAGTAATGCTAAGGCGAGACCACATTTGACACGTACGGTAAATGTATAACCAAGATCTCCCATATTATCCTTTTTTAAGTAGCTCATTTTCATGATAGCAAGGGTATAAATGAATCTCCCATATTATCCTTTTTTAAGTAGCTCATTTTCGTGATAGCAAGGGTGTAAATGAGAGATATTACTATTTGCTCAATATTGGCCAAGCTCTGCTAGTGCGGCGCTACGTTGATCGTGCCTTAAGACAGAGTTTCTTGGAAAAATTGATGATTAAACTGGTTGCGTGAGCTTTCTTCTTATTTGAGAAGAGAACCGTCTCCGTTGTCAACTTAACATCGGAAAGCTGACCTCATTGCCATCCGCGTTAAACTCTTAGAATCTAAGAGGAGGCATTTTTCTAAGTCAAACTATTCCACAGGCTATCCATAAAAAGTGGCTTTCCGGCTCTGGCACGAATGAGGGAGAAGTTTAGGGATTTTATGTAGCTTGCTGTCTCAAGTTTTTGGCTTGCGATAAGCTCTGTTAACTGGAACAAATCTAGTAAGCGTGAGATCTTTACTCGTGGGCTTTTGTTTTTGTAAATAGTTCTTTTTCAGAATTATGGAATTCGGTGTTATGCTGAGCATGACCATTTACACATTAGCGAGCATGCTTGGTATTGTCTTCAATGGAATTCTTATCTGCTTAATCTTATGTCAAACACCTCGAAGCCTCAAAACATACTCAAATCTAATACTCAACTTGGCCTTATGCGATTTCGTGTGCTGCATCTTTGTATTTTTGTCGCAAGATCGGTAAATTTCAAAATTGTATGAAATGTTCTTTGTAGCAAGGACATTAATGTTGTAAAAACCAATAATTTTTGATTTTACTCGTTCAGCATTATTCCTGCTGCGGAAAGTGTAATATTTATCGCAAATGGACCCTGTCGTTTTATCAGCCCTGAATTTTGCTATCAAAGGTAAGGCAATGACTCCTTACAGTGCTTCTTTCAAATCGCTTTGCCGCTTATTGTGTTGATTCATTCTAATGTTGAAATGTATTTATTAAAAAGTGGGTAGTCTGGGCATTTACATAAACAACTTTTAATACAACGTCATGTAATTGATGTAGAGGCCTTTTGCGCTGAACTTGATCTTAGTGTGAATAATGAGAAAACCTTGCTGCCCACGAAGCATATGTTCTCTGACTAGAGAACAAACATGCGGTTGTCTAAAATTTTTTAAAACATTGTTTCAGTTGTTAATAACCATTACTTTTTTT